ATCTAAATGAAAAAAATTTATAATTTGAATACTTATTTTGTATTAAAACATTTATTAAATAATATTATAAATCTTACTTACACCGAAAAGAGTATTGTATATATGGTTAGAAAAGAGTTGTTTAATTAAAATCATATGATGCTATAACATTATAAATAATTACATTTAAAGTTAAACAGGAACTTGAAAAATGTATATATGATTCAACTAAAAAAAAAATTCAATGATAAAATGATACTCGTAAACTTAATTATTTTTTTATTTGATTGAATATACATCTCTAGAAGGACAAAAATAATGTGCTTTTTGGACATATTTCTAGGGATCGAGAGTCTTGTTGCACAAAGATTACATGTCTGACATTGCAAACGCGTAAATAGCAACAAAATTCTCTTAGTGCTGGCCGTTCAGTCAGCAGAAATCCTTATATTCAGTTTGGGTTCATTGATTAAATTTCTTTGATTTGAAAAAATAAAATCAGTCAATTGGCTGTAATCCATCGGTCAACGGTGTTGCTGAGCCCGATGAAGGATGCGCTTCAACGTTATTGTGATGGTGCGGGGCAAAACCGATCAAATGAGATGTTGAAAAAAAAATCAACTCGTATAAGATGGTAGGAAAAATATTTATTAAGATAGGGAGATTGTTACAGTCGAAAAAATATCGAGAACATAATGCAACACCTCATATTTTATGTAATGGAAACGTTAATATTAACAAATTAATAAAGCAGAAGACGCATTGTGGTTGCTAACAAAATACGTATTTTATTCGTCACATCTTCTTGAAGATGTATTGTGCTCTTGACGTCTTCTTGATGGCACTATAACAATCATCTCATCTCAAAAAATATTTTCTCTACCATTTATATACACGATTCCAACGCCCTATTTGATTCATTTTGTCGATGGTGCGGTGAGATGCTTGGGGACTAGTGTAATGCGTTCGGGGAAGATTCAAAGGGAGAGGGATTTGGGAGAATAAGAGGAAACGGTAAGAATGAAATTGAAAAATGATAAAAAAAAATTTAAGGTTAATCTTATTATTATACCAAAAAAATGGATTTTTTTATAAAAAAATATCATATATTACTATTTGAGTGATTCATTGTTGATATATAGATTTTATTACGGGAATAAATAAACTTGTTAACAACAAATTCCTTTAATCGATAAATAAGTGATATATGCATGTCACACAACCAGCGTTATATTTGGGTTACGAGTAAAATTAGGCACGACACCAGAATTTAATTCGAGTTTTTTAGAAGAAAATTTTGAATAAAGTCGAATTTGAGTTTATGGTAAAAAATATTTAACTCATATTGACCTGAAAAAAATATATAATTATATCTTAAATGACCAACTTATGTTTTGTTTGGCATAACTAGCTTGCTTTAATTATAAAAAGCCAATAACCTAAACTCGTCAAATAAGTTTATTATTCTTGAACAATCAAATATCATATATAAAATCTCTTTAAGAAATGCTCCTACACCACATTTAGAATTTTTTACCCAAATATATAATTTGTTTTAAAATTAAATATATCAAAGGCATAGTCGTTGAAATGTGTTTTTTCCCGAATTTTAAGTAACATACGGTTTGTCAAGGACCAAAATGAAAGAAAAACAATAACAAATTTTGTTTCTTTTTTTAAAATAAATATGTACGGTATGTGTTGAAGACACATATTAACATGAGTAAACATAACAATATTTGTGTATAAACTTTGTCTTTAATCACTCAATAAGTGTACGACTAAAATTTTATATTTAAACACTTGACAAAATCAATTTCTAACCCAAACCCCATATTGGTTAAATATTTTTTTTATAAAGTGTTTAAACACAGTCTGTTAAACATATATAAAAAAAATTAGGAGGAAATGGATGTTAAGAAAAAATTAGAAATTTAGGGATGATATTGGATTAATGGTAGAAATAGGGATGTTTTTGCAATGCAAGCAAAGACATCAACAACTAAAATCAACTTCGACAAAGTTGCCAGCAACTATTGGCGACTTTGCTCCATTCTGTTTTTGTATTTTTAGGATCAAATTAAAAGTATATGGACAAAAATGAAATTTTACAAAAAATACTACAATAAAAATGAACGGTTGATTTAAGAAAGGCACCAAACATTAATTAATGTTGATTCATGAAAATGAATTAATCCTCTACTTCTATTTCTTTACAATTTGCTACCTAAATGTAAAAAAATATATATATTGGATCAAAGTTGTCTTCATTTGTCAATGACTTTATCAATCACAATAGAAACATCCATATACCATCCTTAAATTCCTAATTATTTTCCGACATCTATTTTCCTTAATTTTATCAATACATACTTATTGAGTAATTAAAAATGACATTTATCCATAACAATGTTATTTCTTTGCTCCTACTCATATGTCATATTAACGCCTCTCTAACGCAAACTTCGAAACCTTAATAATTCACCCTTGTTTTGCACGACCAAGGTGGACCTGTTAAAATCGGAAGCGCGTCAACAATGATGTGCAATCTCTAAACTTTTGGGACCAGAACCAGGTGGATGACCCGAGTGATTGGGGTTTGGGACCAGTGAGTCAAAACTCAAATTGTACATGTACACAGGTATCAAAATGGAAAAAGGAACTTGTTCACAATAAATGAAAGAGTAAACTATATGTTTAGTATCTAAACTATTACTTTTATTTTTGTTTTGGTACCTAAACTTTTTTTTTAAACTATATCTAACATTTAGTTTATATTTCAATTTGGTACCCTACCTTTTAAAAATTAACAGAAATACTGGCATTGCATTTTTTATTTTTTTAATGACGATATGACATTACATTATGGTGATACATCAACACCACCGTTAAGTTTTTTACGGTGGGTACCAAAATGAAACATTAACTAAACATTAGATATGATTTTGAAACAAAATAAAGTTTGGGTAACAAAATTAAATAACAGTAATAAATTAGGTACTAAACTTATAGTTTACCCTAAATATAACATGCAATAAAGATGGGGACATGGTATTCCAGAATCATTCTGACGTTTATCCCATTTCCATTAGGTTTATGAAAGAAAACGAACTTATATACGGCCAAAGAAAATTTGACAATTCCATTAAATGTACTTATCATCGTCTTCATTTATTTTTCTTTCGCAAACGCATATTAGGGATGGATACATGTTATAAGCGGCAGTGACCTTATCAGACTTTGAGTCTAATTATCTCTTAAACTATAAGTAATTTTAAAATTATTGCAATTAAATCTTTATTTTTCTCATAATTTTTTGATATAATTGTTTTTTATGTCAATGTAAGTTTTAAAATTAATGGAATTAAGCCTTAATCCTAAATTTGTTTGATTTAATTACATTTTAAGATATTTGAATTTTAAAATTGATGAAATTAAACATTTAATTTCTCATTTTTAATGGTTTAATTACTTTTTAAAACCTTATTTATTTTAAAATTAAATAAATTATCCCCTCATAATTCAATCATGACTCGGTCGCTCCACGTATCATAACGGGGCTAGAGTGAGTCCTTCAAAATCTTAAGTACGTTTATGTTCCCTTGTATATTTATTTTTATATTTAAATTGACTTTAACCTAATAAGATCAAGTGCTGACAAAAATGTCAGCCTCTTGTGGCGCCCCTATGTTCCTTCCAGAATTCCTTTACAGTTTTGAGAGCTCCTACTTGTATGGATGCATTGGACCATCACTATCGAAATCAGATTTATTTTACATTTTATAATCCTTTTGGAAGATAAAACCTAATTTTACTATATTATTCTTGAAATTATTTTTAACACGAATATTTGTCTTTTTATTACATTTTACACGAATATTGTATGTATTGTATATATTTTTAACACAAATATATTATTTCAAATGTCTAAACGTACATTCTTTATTCTTTCCTTGAGAGTGCTTCTGTTTTTTTTTTCTTTGGATGAAGTACTTGACATATCCTAAATTAAATTCAAAAGATTTTATTATTTTTAAAATTTAAAAAACGTATAAATTATTATAAAATGATCACCAACAATTTAGTTTCAAAAATTTTGATACACATGTTGTGTAAAATTTAAAATTTACAAATACATCTATTCAAAATCCATCTTACATATCTAAATTATCTTAAATTTTAAATCTTAAACAGTTAAATTCATACTTTAAACCCTAAATCTTAAATTTTAAATATTAAACTTTAAATAATATAATCGTAAATACTAAATAAGACAAATGATATTAATACGATTTGACTTGTGACCCGTTAGTGTACTAGATAATAACTCGGTTAAATTTTTTAGATTATATATAGGGTTGTAAACGAGTTGAGTTTGACTCAACTCGAAAGTTCACGAACTTAAAATTGTTAAACTCGAAATAAAAAATTGAAACTCAAAAAAATTTAAACTCGTAGCATTATAAGATTTAGCTCGATTGAAGCTCGAACATGAATCTTAAACGTATGAAAACCTCATACTGCATTTAAAAAATACAAATATAAATATTATTAATAATTTAACTTAAACAATTTAAAATGTAATATATTATTTTTGAGTTATCTACGATATTTTCAAATTAAATGTCAAATAATTAATTTCGATTGATGAAAAATTCAATTTAAATATTAATAAACTTTAATAAAATTATACTTAAATAATTTACTATCTATTTTGTCTCGATGTAGTGACCTAATACGTGACCTAATCATGTATGAACAGGTTCACTAACGGTTCCTACTTCCAAGGTCCAACCGCGTTATACTTTAATTTTGGGGCCACCAAAAACTTCCACGTACTCGCTCTGTTTACTGATTTACTCCACTTCAACACGCTTAGATCCTTCAACAAAAGGCAGTATCACCCGCTTCACCTATAAATATCTCTGTCAAGCAGCCGCCATTTTCATTATTCGAAGCTCGTACGAACATTCAAAAGAAACTATTTTCCCAGTAACATTCTCGGGAACCAAACAACAAACTGTTCTGATCAATACATGGCGAATCCGCAGCCCAAATCACACATGCACGTTGAATCCAGCACTAGTTCTTCTCCCAAGTACAAAGGCGTACGACTACGTAAATGGGGGAAATGGGTGTCCGAAATCCGACTCCCGAACTGCCGCGAACGTATCTGGCTAGGTTCTTACGACTCGCCGGAGAAAGCCGCTCGGGCGTTCGATGCCGCACAATATTGTTTGCGTGGCAACAAAGCTAAGTTCAATTTTCCCGACAATCCTCCGGATATTGTCGGGGGAAGGTCGCTTAGTCCGCTCGAAATCCAAGCGGTCGCGTCTAAGTTCGCGAACGAGTCGACTAATAACAGCGCTTCCGATAACAACAATGTGGGAACGACGACGGGACAGTACGCGTTGTCTTCGTCGGATGGGGGAGGCGCCGCCATACAAGTTGAGTGCAATGAAACGATGGATTGGTCGTCGTTTTTGAGCATGTTGGATATCAACGAAGGGATGTCCGACTATGGCTTTTATCCGGGGGTCGGTGACCAATTTTATCCTTCGCCGGTTTACGACGAAGCCGACGATAATGTTAACGGCGACGGCGACGGGTTTTCTCAGCAGTCATCGTTTCTTTGGAACTTCTAAAGGCCAAAACATCTCATTTAAAGTTTTTTCTATATCCGAATTTTCGGATTTTTCTGTTTATCGATACTTTTTCTTAATACATTGTAGAAGACTAGACTAGCTGGATAATCATGAATTCGGCGAATTTTAGCTGCCGGAATCGTGATTTTTTCCCAGCTCGAGAGCAACGGTGAAGCTACAAGAGAGTCGATAGGTTTTGGTTTTTCAGAATATTTTTGAAACGTATTAGTACCAATGTTCTAGAAATATTTTGCCATATACGGTGGTGTAAGTCTTATAAGAATTTTGTTCAATATTTTTTTCTTCAAAATATATAGACAAGGGTAAAGGCAAATGACCAACCATTGAGCCAAAATTATTATTTGTTGTTATCGTAACTCTTCGTGATATAATAAATATATTATATAATTTTAGATAATATTTAATTTATTATATAATATTATAAATATTGTTTATATATGTAAAAAAATGAATATATATATATAGTATCATAGTTAAAGAATTATTTAAATTAGAATCTAATAATATTATAACATTATAAATAATTCACTACAGCAAAATAGATTTTTACCAACGTTTTTTAGTCATATAGCAGCGTTTTTAAGCGCAGCTAAAAACCCTTGTGGCGCAAAACAAATGCTGCAAAAAGCACTGCTAAAACAAACGCCGCAAAAAACTATGCTAAAACAAACGTCACAAAAAGTTGCGACATTGGTGAACTACATGCCGCTAAAGGTTATGTGTTTTAGCGGCATTTTTACAACTGTCGCTAAAGGTTGTGCCATATAGTGGTGTTTGTGAATGTAAAATGCCGCTATTGACTACTTCTATAGTGACGTTTTCTTTATAAATGCCGCAAAAAATCTAGAACTTTAGTGGCATTTTTTTAAAAACACCGATATTGACTATGTATTTAGTGGTGTTTTTTATACAAATGCCGCTAATTAAAACTAATTTTTCAAATGTTGTTTCTGCTCTTTTGTTACTCAAATTTAAAATTTTAACTTGTAAAATTATCCAATAAACTTGAAATTCATAATAATAAATAAAAGTTAACAATAAAATAAATATAACGTAGTTTAATATTGTTAACTAGAATAAACAAAAGCATATATATAAAATAACACCTACTATAGTGGACTCTAGGGTTGATTTTGTCGTATCATCTACATCATAGCTTGAAGTTGATTTTGAACGACTTCTTTGAGAACCTTCATCGATTCTTCCATCATGATGTCACCTCATTAGCTCAGCAGTCTTTGAGGACATAAAAAGTCTTTGAAGCCTTGATCGAATGCTGAAGAGTAAATTAAAACACAGTTAATAATAGTTTAAAGAAAGCAATATAATCACAGCAAAGCTACTAGCACCAAAAGTGATGGAAAATTCAATATAATCATAATGCAACTTCTATTGGTGTATCTAAATTAATTAACAGCAACTTCCCCCGCAACCAAACGAAACAAGTGATACAAGTGAAAATCCTTACCTGCGTCCGTGTCTTATATGCCCATGTTTCATTTTCAAACATCAATGGTGGGGCATGGACTATGAGGTAGAAGATAGATGTTTTGGAAGATAAAAATAAAGTATCATAGTTAACAAAGTTATGAAATTTGTAAGGATTTTTAAAGATCCTTAAACAAGTGAAATGTTTCTGCTGCTAAAGGATTTTTCTCTTGTATTTGATTTATTTACCTGAAATGTGCATCAAAATTAGCTGCTAATGAACTTAAAAATAAGAACCAAGAAACTGTCATTCCCCAACCTTATTCCTCAGCTTTTTACGTAGATTATTGGTATAATTTTTCTTCCAAAAGAGTAATAATGCACAATCAGAATATCACATTTTTTAAAAGAAAAAAGTTGAATCTGTTTTAGAGAACCAACAAGCTTGGATGATTTCATCGAAGATATAAGAACCGAGAAAATATCATTCCCAAACTTGTGGGACATCCGAAACAGTGCACAAACCTGTGTTCAGACTCAGAATCACAAGAATCAACACGCTGAAATGGTATAAAGACATCTCATTTTTCAAATTTACTTCCAAGTATGTTTCATGAAATGGAGTGTAATATTTCCATAATATTCAAAACACATTCTTCAGTATTCTCAGAGGCTCACAAACCTGTGGATCATCCGAAATAGTGCTAAGACTTTGCAACTGATCTGTCAAGGATGAAGAAGCATCACCCTGGGCACCGAGAGCAAACACGTTCTTGGATGCAGAAACAGTGAAGGATGAAAAGTACGAATCAGATAAAGACTTTCCTACAATGATCTTCCCTACAAGCAAGCATCAAATCAGTGTCCCACAGAGAATACTTTTGACAGTACAAAAATTATATTAGCAAATTCAGATCCATCTTCATTAGAGAATAAGAGAGACCAAAAGACAGGGTCACATTGGAAATAGGTTTATAATGCAGCAATTATTCGCCTATATATCATTTTCAAAATAAATTATTTGTATTTTCTGCTTAAAGTTCCCTAACTGCAAAATTAAAATATCTCTTTCCATTTGATGGTTTCTGCTATTACACTACAGCATCCTCTTTTAAAATTCCACTTTCACATTTATGATTTAACTCAGCTCTTCATTTAAAAAACTATAAAATTCTTCATTGTAATTCATTTACTGTGACAAATTCAGCAGTAACATTTTGAATCATATCTAATCAGTCCTTCAACAAAGCACCTATTGGCCATTGCGATTCCAAAAATCAAGGAAAATTCAAATATTCATACTTCAATTATAAATTTCATTAAGAAAATGAACACAGTATTTGAATTCGTTCCTTTCCGCGTCTGGATCATACTACAACTCAGATCTTTTTCCGCCGTTGTTTCTAACTTCATCAATAAAAACAACAAGCATCGTAACAAAACTTGCTAAAGCTAACCGATCACTGTTTCATCAACAACTTGTTCTTAATCAGAAAACGGAAAATGAGATTATATTAGTTAAAGGATCCCTAGGAAAAAATCATGAGCTTATCAAGTTTCCAGAAACGAACAAAAATAAATGGATACCATTATAAAATATTTCAGTAAATTTTAAAAATCGTTACCTTTTTTTTATTTACCGCAACTTCCCCGCAACCAAACGAAACAAGTGAAACAAAATAATAAAGTGACCTTGGCAGCAGCGGGTTCTCCGTAGAAGTAGGATAAAACAAACAAGGCTAGGGGAGGAAGCAATTTTGAGAAGAAAATGAATCACCTAAATTTGGGGTCTTCAAAAACTGCTTCCGATAATGAAGATGTCCGACAATGAAGAGAAAGTGAGATCGGTGAAGAGAAATAGGTGAAGAAGCAGTAGATTAGGCGAAGAGAAACTGAGATCAGCGTTTTCAACGGCGTGTGGGTTTTGGGTAAACGACGGGAATGAAATGCAAAACTTAGAAGTAGCAACTAGGTCAAGGGAAAAAATAAAGAAGGTTAAAGGGACTTAGAAATGCAAAACTTACGGCGTTTACTAAAAAAATGCCATTAAAATATGAATATGTTGTGGAATTTTTAGCGATTTTTTTTCATAAATGTCATTAATGTTACCAGATTCTGGCATTTTGGCTTAAAACGCCGCTATATGCATACCATTATTTATGTTTCTATCAAAACGCCGCTATAAGTGTCGCTACATACCTCTTTCACTTTAGTGGTTTTTAGCAGACTTTTTCAAAAAAACGTCACTATATATCACTATATCGCGGCGTTTTATCAAAAACGCCACTATACATGATTATTGCGGCGCTTCCCATAAACGCCACTAAAATACCCTTTTTAGCGGCATTTTACAAAAAACGCCCCTATATATCAGTTTATTGTGATACTATAGGTTAATGACTATTGCGGCATTTGTTATAAAAACGCCACAAGAGGTTTAAAGTTACCGGTGTTTGTTAAGAAAACGCCGTTAAAAATGCTGATATAAACCCATTTTGCTGTAGTGATTGTATTTGAATTTGAAAAAAAAAAACTTGAATAAATATAGTTCGTTTGATTTAACTAAAATTTCATAAATTTATCTCGAGTTTTTCTAAGTTAAAAACGATGAATTCTATATTTCATATCATAGCATGTAAGCTAGAAATGGTCTTATCTGCACAATCTTATGTTTTCTTTATTGAATATGCTTATTGATTTGTAAACAATAGTTTAATGGAATGGTTTTAATGTATTATCATTGAGAATCATTGCATTTCCTTGAACATTTGTTTTCTTCTGAGACTTGTAAAATCCCAATTCGTCTGATAAGCCCGATCAGTCTCCTGTATTCGATTTGTTGGTCAATATCCGAGCCAACTTCAATTGCTTCGATCTTCATAGACTCCTGAAGTGGCGGAGATGCTAGTTAGCATCAATCAGAGTTCTTCGATGCAAATGGGGATTGCAATGATCCGGGCCTCATTTACGAACACAACTCGTCTCTTATAGAAAGGTCCTTGTTCTCTCAACTACGAGATATGCCCCATTTATTTGTGTTTGTTTTCGTGTTTTAGTTTAGGCATTGTCTTACAGTTACCCGCCCTGCAACATGTTCGCAGCGAGAGGAACGAGTTGACATTCAAAAACCACTTTCTTACCATAATATTTCAGGTCGACCGCTTTGCCGATATGGGACCTTCTGCACGGACACATTTCAGTGATAATGGCTTTACGTGCTTGCAGGTTTTGGATTATATCTATGCCTTCTATCAGGTATGACTCGAGTTATCGGGATGTTGTTGACACAAAATGTTCAAGCATAACATACGGACTGAATTCTTTGTATGCATTGCTGCTGTTGTGTAGAACATGTCCAGTCACGAAATAGAGGTTGCTATTCACAGACTCGAGGCATGCCGAGCGGTGTAATCTAGCAAAGAGACGGGCTGAATGCGGTGGGTATGTGATTTTCAAACCAATCGACTTCTTAGGAAGCCGCAGAAGCTTCGAAATGTTGAAGCGTGTTAGCGGGGATAATAACAGTAACGTATATGAGCTTTTGATTAGAGCCTAAAACGTCACGCATCATATATAGCCGCATTGACAATGGATTGAATCTTCAGTCATAGCGCCTAACATTCGGCCGACAGCGTTCCCCGAAAGCCGGTAGACATGTTAGGATTAGGGTTGGCAAGAAACGTCAAACTCATCCGGTTATTATCGCTTCGATCCTATAAAGGAAAATTGAAAAACATGAATTCTACAATAGACCAGTTATGATGATTTCTGAAAACATGGAGAGAAAAAAACTGCTGCTATTATCTGGCAAAACATTAATAATACACTTCTTTTTCTCTCCCCTCTTCCGATTTTTCTTCTTCTTTTTCATTTGTTTTTCAAACTCCAATTCGTGTTCCGTTTCCTCCCATGTTGTAACACCTAATTTTGTCTGAACATTTCAAACGAAATTGAAGACATTCAAAGATAAATACAATTCAAGTGACTGTGGTGACGTGTATTTGCTTAATCGAATTAATTCAAGCAGCTTTGGTGGCGGGCGTTAGATCTATTTGGGTTGGAGACCATACATACTTACTTTTGGATTTAGAAATTTAAATTAAAATCAAAACTTAAGATACCCAAATTTAAATGTCTAAATAAAAATATCCATTTACAAACTCAAGTAACCATTACAACCATTACATTCAAGCCTAAACCCTTTTGCACCACATTAGCAGCTGGTCCCCACTCCCCAGCTGCCAGCACCTCAACCGAGCACCACAGTGGTCCCGAAGCCACGACAGCCGCCAACAAGGCTCCATCGAGCACAGTGGTCCCTCACTTGTGCTCCTCAACGCTCCAGCTAAGCCCCAAACGCTCCAACAGTTAAACAAACCAGACTCCTAATCTCCATCGAAGCCACACGTGAAAGGACAAAAAGAAAAGCATTGGAAATTTATTTTTTCATTGTAGCAGGGGTTGTATAAAAACCCCCAAAAAAATAAAAATGGAGAGGAGGTCCCTGGTTCCCCACATCGAAAAAGAAAAGGAGAGGGGAGCATTTGTAATAGCCTCCTCAGCCCCCGTTCGAAAAAAAACACCATTGTAATAGCTCTCCCATATTTTTCAATAAAAAAATTGTGAGCAAGAGGGTCTTTTTCCTGCTTCAAAGGAAACCAAATGAATACAACAACAAAAAACACATTTCCAAGGTTTTCCTTCTTTTTTTTTCCTTTTATTATCGAACAAAAAGCAGTAAAGAAAGCAGTAAAAACAAGATGAGAGTAGTTTACCTTTAGGGTCGGTTTTTAGGTTCGTTCGGCCACCATAGATGGTGGCCCATGGGAGAGCAGCGCCGATTTACGGCTAGGAGGCGACGGTGTCGTGTCTAGGAGGCTTGGTGGCCGAGTTCTTTGGGGGCGCCGGTCACGTGAGGAAGGAGAGGGACCCCAGAGGTTTAGGTCTAGACTACGTTTAAACCGACCACCGTTGGTGGTGGTTGTAATTTCGGCTGAAGCCTATTTACGGCATGGGTTTTCGGCCTAGGATGTTTCGAGCTTGAGGGAGAAGGAGAGTGGAAGAGAATTTGAGGCGTTTTCGTTCAGGTCGTTGTTTGGGCTTCCTTGCTGGAGCGACGGTGGTCGGAGTGAGTTCGCGCCGATGTACGGCGTTTGGTCGGCGACGTTTGGCCTTTGAGTCCTAGGGAGAGCGGCGGCCACGTGTTGAATGGAGGGGATAGAGAGTAGAAAAAAAGGGGGGCGTGGGGGGCTTAGTTTAGGTTAGTCTTAGGTTTTTTTTAGATTAATAAAATTAGGTTTATTCTATTTTTTTTTGGTTATTCTCCTTCTGGTCCCCTTAATCTTTGCCGCGTTTTCCATCTTAGTAATTGATTTTGGGTTATTTTATTTTGATTTCTAAGGTCTGACAATGCTAATTTTTCTTTTTGTCTTGTTAGGTGATTATTAAGGTTAAAAATGATAAATCCTGTTTGAATCTCTCATATTTAGAACTGTTTTTACATTATAGTCACTGATTTTTTATTTATTTTAATTTTGGAATATTATTTCAATTTGGCCACTGTTTTCTATTTTATTTCACTTCAGTCACCTGTTCTTTTTTATTATTCAAATTAGATTCATCTGTTTATTACCTTTGTTTTAGTCACTGCTTTATTTACAATTTGTTTGCTGTTATTTTATTTTTTTCCATTTTAATCCTTCTTGTTAATACTACCCGTGATGACCCGACTTGGGGTATGATTCTTGTTATTTATACTCCCGGTAAAATTTTAATTTTAACCGCTAACCCACTAATTTTCTAACTTCTAATGCTAACTTTTATTATATTCGAATCATTTTACGACCTCGTGACGACCTGTCCTAGGGAATGATTCGCGTTATTCACGGTCCGGGTAACAATTAAAAATTAACCCATGAATTTTAATTTTATATTCGATTGTTTAATTATTGTTATTTATAGTTTTGCCCTTCAAAATTATGTTATTTTAATTTATGCTCAAGATTATTAATTGTTTACATTTTAGTCATTTCATTTCCAGCGTTTAATTTTATGCAATTTCTTAATTTAAGCTTTATGTTATGATTTCTTTCATTTTAGTTCTATTTTTTAAATTGTTTCAATTTTGTCTTGTATATGTGTTAATTGCTTTTTAATTTTTGTCTTTAATTTCAATTTCTTTAATTTAGTCCTAGAATTTTAGATTTTAAATTAAACCTTTTGATTTAGATTTTTAATATTTTAGTCATAATCTAGATTACTTAGATTTTAGGTCTAGTCCTTAAATTTAGACTCCTTTAAATTTGGTCCCTAAACTTTTTATTTAGGAGAATTCTCGATTTGGTCTGCGCTTATGCTCGATGTTCCAGATTAATTATTTGATTCAATAATTGACTAAAAATAATTAGAATTAATATTATAGCCTCCATCTTAAGCTTAATTTCACATTTAGTCCTTAAATTAGGTGAATTCTTAATTTGGTCATCGCTTTTGCTCGAGGTTTCAATTTAATTATTCGATTCAATAATTTATTAAAAAATGACTTGAGTTAAGATTAGAGCCTATAATTTTAGGGTTTATCCCTGAGTTCTTTAAATTCATAATTTGACACTTTAAGTTAGAGATAATCCTTAATTATTTCATTTAGTATAATTAGGTTCCATAATCGATTGGTTGACTGTATTTTGATTTTTAAATAAGGCACTATTCATTTATTAGGGGTTAGTAATGTATCTTCCGCTTTTGTTCGGGGTAATTGCTATTGATTCTAGAAGTAAATCAACATCATTTTCAAAATCTCACATCATTTAAATTATTTAGGCAATGTCCATTTATTGTGATTGATAAATAAACTTCAGCTTTTGCTTGTGGTGGTTGTTATTAATTTTGGTAAATGGGCATCCTTTTTAAAATATGCATACATAGTAGATCTTAAATTAAATAAAATTTCAAATTCAAAACTTCCAATTTTAAAATATAGGATAATCGACTAGGTACCAATTTTGAGCGCCATGGAGTGATAATCCTTCCCCACGCGTAAATGACTCCTGAACCTAATTTCTGATTTCATCGACCCAAACTTTGTATTTTTAATAAAATAAAATGTCTTATTAAATTTACCTAATTTTATGTATACCAATCTCTTTAAAATAACACATAACAAGAACTTAGAATAAGAACAAGCAATAACCATGCAGTGTTCACGACTGATAAACTCAGGTGAAGTTAGTTCATCTGAACCGGAGTGCAAAAACGGACAAATTGACAGAGAAAGAAACGATGAAGGTAGGAGTGGAAGGAAGAGAGGGATAAGAATATATTAAACTTAAAAGCAGCAAGGATGAAAACTACCGACAACTTGATTTCACAAGATCTCGTTTGGTTAAAGTAACGGATTCTAGCCAAGTAAAACGATATTCCGATAAATCCAGATCTGGTTTTGATATCAAAAGTAATGAGGATTCGGAATACACACATTGATTGATCAACATGTCAGCAACCAATATTTTATTCTCCACCAGAAAATTATCTTACCACTATTGATAAATTACAAGCCATAAAAATAAGAGCAAAAGAAGAATGGGTTGATGGGCCCGAGTTCAACAGGAAAGAAATGACAAACCTCTGGCGATGTATAGGCTCTTCAACCTTTCCTAGAGCTGTCTTCATATGCATATTGTGCAATTGTCCTTTCACACCGAGTTCCTTTGCTACAGCCTTGTTGCCAATGACAAATGATTTATGTGCCTATTTTTATTATATGAAAAATGTAGTAGCAATTAACGATATGGATAAGTAGAACTAACTTTGTTCTGCGGATGAAAGAGGGCAGAGATATTAGTACAAGAGCAGACATCACATGCAAGCTTTGACACAGCGTTCACACTTTACCTATTTGCCTTTTAACAGTAGGTGTGCTCTGTAGTTGAATGATAACGTCAAATACGGAAAGTCCGGACTTTCCTCAAATGCCAGCTGATTCAGGATACATAAAAAGATTATACTGACTCATACTTTATTTCTATACATGTTCACTATATTTATTACTTCCCAACTTCAGAAAGTCCAGTATCAGTTTAACTATGTGCAAATGATTTCCAAGGACATACCTGTTCAAGATATGCACGGTGTAAACAAGCATTGTCTCGAGCTTCTTCTCGCATTTCAGTGTACAAATTTTCTGCCAGCTCAATAATGTTAAAGCAAATAAATATACCAAAAAAACAATAGATTGCTCCTTCTAAAAGCAGTATGGATGCATGAACTTAAGTGCAGTATATTACCCACTGCATCTTCCGTTTCAAGCCAAACATGAGCTGAACCACGAGCATGCAACCTACTAGCATAAACCCCTCCGCCAGGCAAAACACTGTAGGAATTAGCTGAACCATGAGAGCTTCTACTTGGTCCAACAATTGAATCGGCAGAATCGTACTTCCATATCCCAGAATCTTGAGGTGCCATTTTCCTGCCAGCTGACGCAAAATCTATGGATACTCTAGAAGGAAGGGAAGATCTGGATTTGAACATAAGCATATTTTCCTTTTCATAAGATCGATAAGGATTGGCACCATGCTGAAGATCATCTCCGGCATGTTTTGGAGTACAACTCTGATCATCAGACACGGTAAGTGCAGCAAAGTCTAATGTGCTCAGATGGGGCGCTGACAAGGTCTTTGAATTCAAGTTCTGGTTGAAGCCACCAGCACCTTGAAGCTGCAAAAAAATAAAAATGACTTAATGACCCATGGAACCTAAAAGATTGAAGAGAATTAAGACAGGCAAAACATACAAAAACTCTGAAAATCTGGAAACCACATCACAATAACCTAAGAAGATATAACTTCAAAAAAGAAAGGAGAAGAAATCCGCATAAAAACAACTACCCCCCATATCAAGGCCCATGGTTGAATTGAGTCACCTCAAAACTTTATGAGGAGCCAGTTTTCCCTGTCAAAACACAGTTAGCATCCAACCAAATCATTATCATCCATGACAGTACAGCCATAGCAGATTCCGACATCCCATAAATACAACATAAGAAGCGGGTGGGGGGGGGGGGGAAGCAATTGCAGTGCCAAAGTAAAGGAACATAAAAATTTGAAGTTAAAGACTGCATCCTGGTTTTGACCACAAACCAATCCTTAAACAGTTTTGCAACTTTCTAACAACAATAATCAGAAAATAAGAAATAAGAAATATGAAACATGAAAATGTAAATGTAAATGTAAATGAAAGTTGAATCAATTCATATTCAGAAAAAGATAAATACAAGTGCTTGAAAATAGACCAATTAAAAATGGTTGAGTGCCACTCACTTCAAGTTGTGTGAGCGTCTCGATAGTCAGATTTAAGTCGCAACCACTGGCATAATAAATTTCAGCAAGGATTTCGGCAGCAAATCCAGAGAATTGAGAAGCCAAAAAATCCACATGATTCTTTTCAGTATCATCCATAACTGCCTGCCCACTCAGCATTTCATTGATGAATCCACGTCTCGAATTTCCATTATATGGTTGTCCCTCCATCCCATTGCCAAGAATCTGACCATTGTCAACAAGTTGCTTGTTCCAAGGTTTGGCTGACAAGTGCAAAGGACTAGCTAAAGTAGGATCCTCCCCATAGAATGAAGTGGGATATCTCAAATTTTCAGTGAAATTATTACCATTACCAATACTATCACCATAATGATGCAATAGTTCCTGTTCATCACAAAATACAAATTCCTTACCAACTGTAGCAGGAAACCTTGAAGCTTCACTACCACCATGCAAGGATATACCTGCTACAGAGAGACTCCCAGACCCAATTCCTTGAGAATCATCCTCATTCAAAACCTTAAAGTCCGGGGTAATGTCATCAGGCAACTGGCAACGCCAAAACAGATGAGCCCTTCATCAGAATTATTTGTAATGGAAGACTCCGACCGGTCAAGCACAGCTTTTCTAATGGTCCCAGGGGTAGCAAACCTTGCTGTCGCATCCTCCACACTAATGCTTCCGGATGAAGATGGTGACCTAAGAGAAAATGGAACAAACTCTGCTGTATTAGGATTCAAATTTGTCACCTTCCTAGGGGCATTAGTTTTGTGTCACTGATTTGGGCCCCTTTCTTGGATAAGCTCATTCTTTACTTAACATGAATGAATAGATTCTGCACAGATAAAGGAAACTATGCACTGGATACACACTGGAGTTCCACCAAACTCTAACCAAAACCTGCAAAACCGTCCGTTGTATCGCA